ATGGATACATTTTGGGAGAATCCCCAATAGTTACATTTTGTGAGAGTTACTCAATGGTAACATTTTGTGAGAATCCCTAATGGCTACATTTTGTGAGAATCCCTAATGGTTACATTTTGTGAGAATTACTCAATGGTAACATTATGTGAAAATTACTCAATGGTAACATTTTGTGAGATACCTCAATGGTTACATTTTGTGTGAATCCCCAGTGGTTACATTTTGTGTGAATCCCCAATGATAACATTTTGTGTGAATACTCAATGGTTTCATTTGTGTGAATCCTCAATGGTTACATTTTGTGTGAATCCTCAATGGCGACATTTTGTGTGAATCCTCAATGGCTACATTTTGTGTGAATTCTAAATGGCGACATTTTGTGTGAATCCTCAATGGTTACATTCTGTGTGAATCCTCAATGGTTTCATTTTGTGAGAATCATCGATGGTTACATTGTGTGTGAATTCTAAATGGCTACATTTTGTGTGAATCGACAATGGTTACATTTTGTGTGAATTCTAAATGGCGACATTTTGTGTGAATCATCAATGGCTACATTTTGTGTGAATCGACAATGGTTACATTTTGTGTGAATTCTAAATGGCGACATTTTGTGTGAATTCTAAACGGCTACATTTAATGTGAATCCTCAATGGTAACATTTTGTGTGAATCCTCAATGGATACATTTTGGGAGAATCCCCAATAGTTACATTTTGTGAGAATTACTCAATGGTAACATTTTGTGAGAATCCCTAACGGTTACATTTTGTGAGAATTACTCAATGGTAACATTATGTGAAAATTACTCAATGGTAACATTTTGTGAGAATGACTCAATGGTAACATTTTGTGAGAAACCTCAATGGTTACATTTTGTGAGAATCCCCAATGGTTACATTTTGTGAGAATCCTCAATGATTTAATTTTTGATATGGTATGATCACATTAAATTATATGTACCTTTTATGTGATGGTTCAATGGTTACAATTAAAATAAATGTGAACTTACAAATCACTCCAACATTTGTTTTCATATATAAAATTTAGTATCTTCTTTGATGACCTCATTACACATAACCATAACAAATCTTTCTCATTCAGGTTAGGAGACTTCATTTTTGGTTTAATGGACACGTACTTATTGAAACTGTATTCTGAATATTCTATCAAAAATCCTCAACCCTTCATTCTTTCCTTCAATACAAATTGAACAAATCTGATTCCTTTTTTTCCAGCAACAAAGTTGTTTTCAAACTGACATCATTATTAGTACACAGATATCTGTGTAGGTGTTAATAAGGATGACACTTATATCCACAGTCACGGATATCTGTTTACTATCTATGACGTCAATTTGTAAACAATGTTTGTAAACAAGAAAAGCGGCGCATATGCCTATATGCGCTGCTTTTCTTTCTGTAGGCCGCTATTTTGAATTGTCATACTATTCTAAGTACGGCATACTATGTGTACCGAAACATGTTAACTATAATAAATAGTACTGATTAACCTTCTGTCGGATGGTGTCTAGCCATTTCTACCTGAATTTTCAATTCTTTTTGTGCTGGACACATGTATTCCGTTATAATAGATCTGCTGAAGACCACAACAACATTTGGGAGATTTGGATACAGATTTTTCAATCTCGTTTGCCTAGTATTAAACAACAACAGTGTAAGAACACAAAGGGTCACAATAACAACAGTCCCTGCCACATCTCTCCATTAAGGATAGCTCACACCTATATCTAGGCTCTAGGATAAGGATACATGCTTTCAGATCAGTGTATTGGCAACAACAATATGAGAAAAGGACAACACTCAGCTGTCAAGATGTCTTGCCTTCAAGTGACTTGAGATATGCTTCACAACATCTCACTACCTGGTCATATACCTCTTCAAAATCCTCAATTCTTGAACCCTGAAAAATATTTAATATTTTTTTTCATAATTGAAATAAAAACAGTTTTTTACTAACATGTACATGTACCTGTAATAAGATGCAACAGGTTTTTATTAACTAATCTTTATAAAGCCAGCTATACTAGGAAACTAACAATTATTAAGCAATTTTGAAATTTTAACTAGGATTTCTACTATCTTGCTGGTGTGAATTTAATTATCTTACGGACACTATTATTTTAATGATCCGATCAAACAATTCAAGAGTGATTAAAATAAGTCTATAAATTTGTTTCAAAATTATTGTGAAATAAACAAAGCTTACAATGTATATCTAACGAGTGGTAATCTGCAAAGTTTTATACTTGAGAGAAAGTATAGAACAACTAAACATGCAATATTTGAATATTTTGACAATTATTGTCAACACACTGTTAAAATATATTCCTCAATAGAAAAAACAAAAGGCAATTTATACTTACATAGTAAGGGTCATCAATAATAATTTTGCCATTGGGATCATATGTTCCAAGCATTTCAAGCACAGCCTTGCTTCCTTTGGGTTGAATGTCCTCAAGGTCCCTGTGAAGAAAATTGTACCCTTGACACGCACATGTACACTATCTCAGAAATGAATAAAGTATTCACCCTATTATTAATCCCGTTATCTTTTTTAAGCATCCTCTATCATTTTCTAAGCCTTTCATCCAGGGTAATCTTTTCTAAATAATTACAAAATTGTTTGAAAACAGTGTTTATTATGGCTATTAATATTTATCAAAATATTTAGCAGTCATTCATATCTTTCCAACATGCTAAATGCTGAGGAAATCTATGAGGTTGAATGTTGTACACTGGTTTTGTAACTTTTGATGAAAGGCTTCTGATAAAGTCCAAATTCCTAATTCAAACTCTTAGCACAATTGTTGATATTTGTTTTTGTTAATTCCATTTTATAATTAGTTTTTACAAAAGTTCAGCAAGGTATAAATTTCTTTTCTGAAATAATTTATCATACAGGTAAAAACGTTTCCAATTCAGTTACAGAATTTGGCAGTGGCACGGGGATTGTTAACAAATGTAGATCTATACCTTGAGATAATCTCTAAAGTAAATTTAAATGCATCCAATTACTGAAATATAAAATTGCAATGTTTAAATCTTACCTCATATTTTGCTTATCCATTCCAAAGATAACATCAAACTTATGAAAATCTTCTACATTAATCTGGAATTGAAAACAAACAGCAGGTACACTAAAAAGTTCAGCGTAAGGGAGATAACCTCCATTTGTTTTTATTACCAAACATGGCCTCTAGAAATCTTCACCAACAATTGTGATGACATCAGAACACAAAAACTGAGTCATTTCCAACAGTAAATGTATTTTTCAGATGAAATTGATTTCTAAAACTCTAAAAAGTTCAAATTGTTTTTTGAACATAATGATTTTGAAAGTTTGTAATGATTTAACTCAAATCTGAATAAGGAAACTTTCACAATTGCTAATGTCAAGCTTCCTCTTATCTTAAATCCAAAACTTTGACGAAGAAGTTGAAAATGAATAAAAATTAAAATATGATGTGCTCTAAACATAAGCCAAAGTACTGAAATAAACTTCAGTGACTGTTTTATAGTGGGGTTCAGAAATTAAGGGGACATTAGTACGTATCATCCTTTCACAGCAAGAGTGTGGAAGAGGAGCTAAAGGGATTGGGGTGTTATTTATATGGCAATCAAGGTGCATTAAAATTTAAGATTTAAATGCAGAGTTAAATATATATATATATAAGTATATAAATCACTGCAATATGGTACACAATGTAAGCAAGAAAGCTTAGGCACTGAACAAAAGTTCATGCTGAAGTACCAGCCCGCGGCCCAGTCTACCAATGGGGTAATAGGAACAAAGCGCAACTTGACAGAATGTTAACCTTGCTATGGTAACAGTTTTACTGTGTCTGAAAATAACTGTATCTGCATGTGTATTGAACCTCCTAACGCTTCAGTCGTGTAAATATTGAATTTAATGTTACATATGTGTTTGTGAAGAAGAAAAAAATACAATTTTTTGTTCAACATTGTTGGAACTTAACAACACACTCATGGACAATCCGTGTAAACCACTGTAATCTACTGGAATCACTCACTTCATGGACCAATCTGTTGTCTATGGAGTTCTTTTGTATGATGTATATGATTATGTGATAAGTATGGAAATGAGATATAAATAGTCCACACAAATTTCACAAATTTCAGTAGGTCTATAAGAAATCTAAATCTCATAGACCTTATTGCCTATGGTGTATAATTCTTAACTTCTCAGACTACTCAAGCAGGCATTGATTTACACGACATATTATATATTATCATATGCTTGAAAACCTTTCGCTATCACATTGAATTGGCCAGATCCTATACAGGTGACCAGTCTCCAAAATCCCATGCAAACTTGTTATCCGGTGAATATCGATTTCTAAGTATAGCCTATATGGAAATTCCCCGCAACCTCTTGTTGTACATGCGCAGTTAGACCGGAACGCGATCTGTCAGAAAACCACAGAATATGGCTGCTGGTGAATGCTTCGCCTCTGTTACATCTGAAAATTTCATAAAAATTGCTCGAAGGTAAAGATGTTGTTAACACAAAAAAGGCTGCCAAACACCCAGTATGTGTCCTCAATGCTTATCCTAAGAAATAGAACCTTGACGATGACTTTGAAAGCTACAATGTCAAACTGTTTGATTCGACCCTTGCTAAATTTTACACAGAGAACTGAGTTTTTTTTAAACATTTTATTGTTGAAGCATAAATTAAAACAGTTATCGGGCTTTTGTGCTGGTAAATATGATGTGATATGAAGCTGTAAAAGTTATTTTGACCTTGGCTTCACCTCAACTCAATATAACTTTTTCAGGTTCATATCACATCATATTCATCAGCACAAAAGTCCATAATTGTAGTATATAAACTTTGACAATTTTGGGTATATAATGTACACTATAAATAATTGAACTTACATTACGTATATTGTACAGATTGTGGATTGATGCACTGTGTTTTAGGCTGTTAGAGTTATATATCTGAATATTTTATCTTTTTAACTACACTGCCTTGGCCGTGAATAAGTCGCATCAAAACCTGTATTATCCCACAACTGCATGTGTCTCATCACTGAATGTATTAAATATCGCAGCAGTGTGACAGGATGTTTACTTACTGCATCGATCCTAATTATATATATAAGTGTAACGCCACTTTTATATCGCATTACTGCATTTTCTTAAGAGCAGAAGCAAAAGATGGCAGCTTACAGAAAAACTCTATGTAAACCTTCTTTTTTTTTAAATATGATCGACTTGAAAGATTCCTCAACACATTACAGCTGGTTATTGTATAAATCTCACTGCCATCGATTTCAAAAGTTACAAAAGTCATTTGGAAAATCTCTTGCCTTTTAACCGTATGAAAAATAACTAATCTGACTGAGATATATATATACTCAACATTCAGTCATTCGTTAAGGAATCTTTATTTTCCTGTAATTCTGGTCTCATCAATTAACATGATCGATAACCATACGATAATACAAGTAACATTTTTGTATAAATTATATAATCATTGCTTACCTGTCGAACAACATGTTTATAGTTTGTCACTCCTTTCTTCTTCAATGTTTTCATCGTCCGTTTATCTGGGGGACCACCAACATGCCAGTCCCCTATGGCAGCACTGTCCACATGCCACTGAGAGGAAATAGTAACACTTGATTAAAAGAAGCTATTTGTTTTATAAGGGCTATACTCTTCTAAATTACCAGAATTATATAGTGCACTCTGTCTAATCTGATACCCTGCGGAATAAAACTAACTGGTTGAATTACACAGTATGTTAGAATACTCTCGAAAGGTTTAATTGGATTAGTCATATCATAAAAGACAGGATGTTGGAATACTCAGGTGTCAGAGTGGACAGGTTTCATCACTGTACAAGTATATATACATGTATCTTGAAATATGAAATACAAGTACAGATGTAACTGAATATACAATCTGATTAAAATGGCACTGACCTCAAATTCAAATATTGATGAAAATGCATATACAAATGCACATGTATATTTAATGTTATATACATGTATCTCGTACATTGTACAATTTCTTTTTTATGCACTATTTTTTATTTTCACCTGGTCTCTTTGTTCTTTCGTTTCAAGTAGATCCAAAAAGACAGCTTCAGCAATTGGAGAACGGCAAATATTGCCTGTAAAAAGGAATGTTTCACTGTATGAAAAAAAAAGTGAATGAAGAAGTAAGAGAAAAAATTAGACTTGTTCTAAACTTAGTAATCTTTTGACTTTTATAAACAACTTAAAAGCAGCTCTCTACGAAGATAATATCAAAATAAAATTAACAAATTCTATGAAATGAAATATTGAAAATTTGTCTTTTTTATGTACCATAAGCTTTTGACACCAATCTAAGTGTCTTCCAAACCTCAAAATGGAGTGTAATTAATTATAAGAGCCAGGAAATAAAATGGGGAAATACTGCTAATACTTCCAAGCTAGCTCTTCAAGCAATTCAATGTGGTATAACCTTGGAACACGCTCACTAGTTCAGCATCGTCAGTGGTTAGATGGGTGCCCGCCTGCACATTACATTTGGTTGCAGTGTCGTGACCCTGTTGCATCTTGTAAGACCAGTTTCTATTGGCTAGGGAAGGTGCATTGGTACATAGAGAGGACCTGCAAGGTTCCCGGCCAGGCCAAGTCCAAGGACAAGACTTCTCAGAGGGCCGGGGAAATAGTGAAATATAGTCACGGAATATGGGGAAATACTAGCTGCCTTCCTGGCAAACTAGCATTTCCAGGAATGCGGTACAACCCGGAAATGTGCTCAATAGTTTCTTAACATCAACTTGAGCAAGGTTGTGGTGGTTGGACGGGGTGCCCGGATCGGAGTTACATTGTAATCAACACTGATGATATCAAAAGTTTTTGCATCATTGAAGACTTTGCAATATTTTTTTCTTTCATTCAAAATTAAGGAATAACTGCGGAAATCAAGAGTAAATTACACTATAGACCCAACCATATTTTTCCGTATCACTTTTATGGAGAAAATAATGAAATCTGACGTACAGTATGGTGTATAGTATTTACATGTACATGTATTAGCCCAAGTTTCCTCTGGCCCTGACACCAGACTTAGAGTTATATGGATCAAGAAAGACAGAAATTATGAGAAAGTTCAATATTTTTTATCCACCACTTTTGCAATCAATACGTAAGGTGTGTTCAAACAGTTGATATCATCTTAAAGAGTGCAAATTCCCTTGGCCAGAGTGGTTTCCGAATAAAAAATGGTTCAGTATTATTAGAGATATGAGTATTTATTTGAACGAATACTGTTGAAAATATTGTCATTTTTATTTCACTTAGTTCATTCCGGCCACCACTTTCACTTCTAATTTAAAATACTAGTTAGCATAACTTATACCACTGTAACGGGTATAAAATTATCTTTCTTATGCTGGTTTCCAAATACAAATCCATTATGTATTGAGAGAGCTATGGCCTAACAAATACAAAAACTCATAAAAAATCTCTTCATGCCTGAGTGCATTCCAGATTTTGTCCTCACCCAGAAACTGATCTGGGTTGATATATATATATATATATAGTAATAACAATAATATTTATTCAGGTAAAAGGCAAATAATACATGAATATCACATTTTGCAGATTGGACATAGATGCATATATTATCACAGAATGAGAGGTTTTGTTTATAAGTTATTTGTGCCATACGAATAGTAATCAGTCAGGTGTTAAAACTGGATTGGAGTAGATTAATTTAGGCCTTTACTTGGGATGACCCATATAAAGACACAGTGTGGCTTAATTTCAATGGGGTCGTGATCATCTAGCTACCAAATACATTAATTTGTTAGAGTGTCTATTCAGGCTATTGTATATATATACAATTTGGTGTAGTGATTTATGCCCATAATCCCGGTTCATAGTCAACGAAAGCATCAATGAGACTGACATGATGAAATACTTCAGCAGCTACATGTACATTTATATGCCGAATTAATCCAATGTCAAACTCAATTGATCTGTTTATAATCATGTGTGTGTATATATAGATTAAAGGATCCCCTTGATCTATTAACCACATTTACAGGTATAATAAATTTCTTACCTAGACAAATAAACAAAGCCGATTTCTTCGATCCAGCACCTGCTCCAGCCATGTTTTACTCAACCGGTGTCGATGGAAATTATGTACCTTAGTTTTTATTTTGTTCTTGTCGAGAAATTCTCTGTTACATACAAGTAGCTTTCGTTTACTATGGACTTAACCGGAAGGTCATACACTTAAACATAATTGCATGTTTTAGATATGCAATTTATTATCATGAAATGATGAAATCATCAAGGTAAACAATGTGTTCGAGAAGATTATATAAAGACGAAAGTGAAAGTAGGTTATTTATAACAAAATAACCGAACACGGAAACGGACCAAATGGACATGTCGTGTTTTAAAACTGATGAAATCATGTAAATTATTATACAAGATAAAAAAACTAATAATGACACATATTTGTTCTTTCTAAAATTCTAAATATTCTCACTGTGGAAAATTTTAATCAATTTCGAAATACATGATGAAAACTTGTATTATTATGTAAGTTCATTTATATATTGTTTACAATTCTCCGCTGAAATATTTTTCATTGCAGATTTAAACTTCTACACTGTAAATAATATTTCATGTCAAAAAAATAAATAAAAAATATATAGATAATTAGTGTATTTTATCTTTGTTGAAAGCTGTTTGAAGAAATAGTCCTGCTATATATGTTCACTGTCATTCACGACCATCTGGATTATCACCAAAATATTATACATTTGTATGTCTAGTATAATAAACGGTTTCATTTACATTTTGAGTCTGCTTCTTTCTGCTGATATAATTTGGAACCGTCGACATCTTTTGGTTACGGATATTGCCGACGATTCTCGACCTGCTGCTGATATAGCACATGCATTGAACAAAATGAATGCTGTAGATCTACATTTATTACAATTATGACATTAGTACATCGCATGTAGAGTAATGAAATATGTTTTTGAACAAGACCTGAATTTTAAATCCGTCGGTCAACACTTTTTCTATGACAACTTCTTCTTGAAAACTTTAAAATTATGATGGAGTGCTATAGCGTTTCCTCATATACATGACCTTGGCCTACTTTCAAGATCAATAAGTTCAAACATGCTTAATCATAAAGCCTAGAGCATATATACCACTTGGGTATTGATTATAATGTATTTCAGTCAAAGGTCAACTTTGCGCGTTGGTCGAGGTCAAAGGTGAATACGGTTTATATAATGGGTAACAAAAATAAGAATCTTCGGAAGGAATTCTTCTCAAGTCCATAGACCGAGGGTCCTGGCCAATAGGTACCTGACATGAAGCAAACTAAAATGGACTCATATCAACATATCATATTTACATTCAAGGTCAAATAATTTTGAAACTTCTCGCAGCATTTGATAAAGATATACTTGTATTTTGATATTTCATATAATGTCTTAGACCAACAGTGTCAATAGTTTCCCTTAAAATAGTGTCGTGTTTAGGCAACAGGTCATTTTTTTGCCGGGGTCAAAGGTTAACATACGTCATAATTGGTAAAATGTCATTCTATCCACGTTGCAATATGTTTTATCATTTTTCAATAGATACTGTTTTTAAACTATATATTTTTTTTTTCTTATGGTTGCAACCGAATACAAAGCTACATGTTAGACTATTTAGAGTGATAAGACCATTTAAGGATGTACACCTCTGAGAAGTCAAAAAATTCCTGTATCAAACTTTTTTTCTTATATTGATTTTTGGAAAAAGGAGATAATGGCATAGCAGAAAATGCAAAAAAAATAGATATGTCCGTGTGTTCGTTTTTGTGCTATGATCGGTCAAAGATACCAATTTAACACAATAGGTGATTTTAGGTGAATTTTCGGGTTTTGACCATTTGCAGAACAGATTCATACAATTTCTTCCAAGTGTGTTATCAGATATGTATGAATGTTTGTAGAATTGATAAAAATATTATTTTCTTTTAAATTATAGAAGTAAAATTTCTAAATCTTATTCATTTTACTCAGAAATGCGATTTTAGTTACCCCTACCCCTTATTTTTTAATGAAAAATGCACATTTTTTTCACCATTTTTTGCAGATTAAACGCTTGATATAAAAAAAATCCTGTATTAAACTTTTTTTGGTATTCAATGAATCAAAAGAAAATGTGTTTCTCTTTCTANGCAGTTACCCTAATATGTAAAAAAAAAAAATACCAATAATATATAACTTTCCACTTTTTTGCATATTATTTTAATCATATTGAACATTATACAGTTTTATTACATACTTACTAATAAATACGGGTTTTTTGCCTATGCGATACGACACAATTGCTCTAACCCATATCAGCCCTCGCCGTATCACACCCCAAAACCCGTATCAGCCCCCGCCGTATCACACCCCAAAACCCATATCAGCCCGCAAAACCCATATCACACCCCATTTGGAAAAAAATCGTTTTTCAATATTTCAAAAATTAAAATAAATCATAAGATAGTAGTTTTTATTAGTAAGTATGTAATAAACAGAATAAAACACGCCTTTTTCCATATCACACCCAGTATCAACCCTCGACCAATATCAGCCCGCGGGCCTTCGGCCCTTGGGCTGATATTGCAGTCTCGGGTTGATACTTGGTGTGATATGAAAAAAGGCATGTATTATTCTCTATGTACAGCAAAATTGAACCTGCTACATTTAAAAATGGTGACACAATGACAATTTAAGTGATTAATCTAGTGTCAAAAAAGGTGAAATTTTGCCCTTTGTGAAGCGCAAGAAATTCACATAAATACACTTTTTCAAAATGGCCGCCAAATTGGTCATTTTTTTCAAATTCTTGAAAAAAAAAATCTACGCACAACAGATATCTAGTTTTTTGACATGTTTTTCAGATCTGTGTTTGCTATTAAACCTATCATAATTTGTTAAATATTACAAAAAACCGTTACGCCAGATCAAAACGAGACTTGAACGTGACTGAAACCTATTTTATATATTACGGTTATCGTTCCGGGCTTTACACCCACCCCTATGTACGATGAGAAATTTCCCTTGACACCGTTTGTACATGAAGAGCGACAACTCCCATGCATAATGTAGGCCTATCCGATATGTGACTTTTAAAAACATCCTAAATGCATTCGCTTCGTTCTCTAAGACGAATCATCAGCATCTTCAGTCATATCAACCCAACATTCAGAACCGTCATGACTTCTTCAAATGAATGCTCAGCTGGAATCATAGGTAACAAATGTAACGCACGTTAGGCCAAGCAAAACATATTTGGTGTTTCTGGTAAGATCTACATCGTACCCCAGTCACACTTGAATATTACGCGACGGGAACCCTACCTACTCTAATTTGTTGTGCCTACCCTAAACTTTTTAATACAATATTCAAAGAAGCAGAAGCACGCACTGTAAAGTGAAGGTCACTCTCCTATATAAACCAGTTAAAATAGAATGTGTTACGTACCTACAGCACCTATATATAGCTACCTAACGTTGCAGTACCCTAATTTTTTCCAACATGTTACAAGAAACGTATATTTTTGTCCTGCCTTATGTATGCGGGTATGCAGGGCTTTGTAAGACTTTCAGTCGCATGCTCCTGTAGTTTAGTAGGGCCTATATATATCGACAATGCAATATGCAGGTCGGGGAAAACCACTAACTTGCGTATAATACGCAAACTCGCCTATTAAACGCCAGTAGGGGTAAGGATTTGTTACTAAAAATAGCCAAAATCACTTTAATCTTAACTTTTTCAAATTGTTTGTCCAATTCGCATTTATTTAGTCATGAAACATAATACAAATGCAAAAATTAACTTTATTTGCATGTTGGAAAGTACCAAAAATATATGCAATATTTCCGGTAAAGTTACATCAAGTTTCTAAGTAGCCAACGCTTAACATCTTGTAGCAAAATATTACTTACCTTGTCGTAAATTAATGCGATTTTTAATAATATCTTGCAAAAGTTACACTTAAAGCGATTTGGGTTATTTTTGGTAACAAATCCATACTCCAACTGGCGTATAATACGCAAGTTGGTGGTTTTCCCCTACCTGATATGTGGTTGTAGATTTTTTTTTTTTTTTTTTTTTTTATAATTATTTTGATGTGGTGGATCCCAGAGACATAAATTATGTTTTGGTCTGAAACGTTGAAGTTATGGAAAGATAATAAAATTGATCCTGGAACAGAGGAAATTCTTTAAAAAATAATATATACTCCCACATTGAACAATTATGAAGAGAAAAATTAGATTTTACAAAGTTCAACTGTTTCAAAAATGAAGTGGAGAAACACTGGGAAAACATTGATGTATTATATATAAACTTCAAAACTAAATTTTGAACTTAGTATGCAGTGTCATAAATTAATCAAAAACTTCTTTATTCATAACACTGTAACACAATTATTATGTTTTGAGTCTGGTGAAGAGGATACAAAATCCTGTACAATAAATCTGTCGATTCAAAATAAAAATGTCATTAAATATCATTAAAAAAATACCAGCCAAGGCAAAAGCATGAAATCCTAATATTTTGGCAAGTCCCAGAACTACATTTTAACAGTCTCACATTGTATATAATAAATTTAATTCAGTGATCCAAAATTGAATGAAATTATTTCAATATGAATGATATTTCTGTAAGATCAACTCTCCAGAAATTTAATTATTATAATGTAACTTATATTTAGTGCCTTTAAAAAAAACCATATTGCAATATATTTATATTGATAAAGAAAATATCTATGTTTTTCCACCCTCTTCCAGTATGGAGACTAACTCCTACAGATTGTAAATTCTCCTGCACTTGGGGAGCCACTAGTTGAAAAATTCTGCTCTTTTTAAAAAATCAGCAGGTGATGGAAATAATGATATGTTGCATGGCTCCCTAATGTGATAGTTGTTACACGGAAATCAAGCAGCTCGTTTTTGGACCATAATCTCTTGTGTCACTCTGTTGTTTGATGTGTCAGAATCCCAAACCCTAGCAGAAAACTCAAGAATGCCTTGAACAAGGGTGGTATAAATTTGTTTCCTTACATCCATAGTGCAGCCTCTGAGGTAGCTATTCAGGAATCCTAGCTAGGGATCTGGTGGCGTTGACAGCTGTCTGTTCAATATGCTTACCTTAGGTTAAGTCCCGACTGATGTACACTCCCTAGTACCTTTTCTTGTGAGTGGCCATGAAGGGTGAAGGGTTGGGTGTCGGAGGGTCTTTTCTTGGAGATGTTGATGGTAACACACTTCTCTGCTGGAATGACGTCTGCTATAAATGTTTTCTCCAAGGACTTGAAAGTTCTGTAAGGTGTTGTTACATACAATGTATATACAATGCACTTATCCTGAAATTTCCATTTGTTTTTCAGTCATTGGAGATGAAATATTGAAAGGACAGACTGCAGACACCAACTCACACTTTATTTGTAAACATCTGTTTTCCTGGGGAGTAAAGGTCAAACGTGTATGTATTTAAAAAAGAAATTTCACACAATGCTATTATATTAGACATAAGGCATCATCCGTGTCACGTGCCATAACCTGTCTGTAAACTGTTTACCTTCTATACCTCTTTTCAAATTCCACTGATAGTATTTTTTTAAAACCTGGCAGGAATTATCCTGAGATCATGTACTGATATGCCAGCGGATTCGGTCAAAATCACAGGGATTCTTACTGTTGACTGTATTCTTGAGATTTGAGACATCATACAGTGACAATTGTGGAATCCTGGCCCACAGATTGTTAATATATATATATAGTTTTTTAGGCCTTGAAAATAATAACTGTTTCCTTTTATTTTGATGCCTGAAATTTTCAGCTACAAAAAACTGTGAAAGAAAACAAATAATTTAAACTATAAGACTCTGTTATCTTTGTAGTGGTAAAAAGTTTATCAAAATAAATTAAAAAATGTTGATTTCCCTTGTTCAATTATTTGTATAAAAAGTAATGATGTGATTTTATTTTTCAGATATCAGTTGTAGGTGATGACCTGCAAACAATAGCAAAAGAAATATCAGATTTCTCTCAGAAGTTTACTCATGTGATCACAACAGGAGGTATAGGACCAACTCATGATGATGTCACATTTGAGGGTACATATTTATTACATTTCATCTGCTTAGGACTCCATGCTGAATTAATGTTGTACCCCTGAAAACAAAGTGGTTGGGTCTGATATAGGAATAAGAGGAAAATCGTTAAAGAGAAAGGGTTGAGGGTTTTGAACCAGATTTGGCTGGTTCTATGTGATAGTATTAGTATGTGTGAGGATGACGTTTTATTTTCGTTTTTTTTTCTGATATATTTCTCTGACAGTCCTCTGAGACCGTCTTGCTTTTATTTTTTGAAATTATTAACAATCAAGGATGGACCGTGTGCATGCTATTTGATTGGCATAGATATTTTTAACACCCTTTCCAATGTTTTTGTTTACTTCTCAATTCCACTAGCTCAATCTTTGTTTCTGTCAATGCCTGTACCAAGTGCTGTTATTCAAATTATTTGGGTCATCATGAAATTAGAGATGGCCATCATGGTCTCAAGTTAGCAGATGCATTTTCACCTTTTGGCTAGTTTAGATAACAGGAGATGTGAGTACGGTAATAAAGGCCCAATGGGCCTCTTGTTATGTAACATTTTTATTATCCTCATATACAGGGGTGGCACAGGCCTTTGGAGACAAGCTTTCCCCTAACCCTGACATCGTCAAACTGTGCAAAGAGTATTTTGGGGCTGAGGATATGTCTTCCCCCAAAATGAAGTTAGCAATGGTGAGTTTATAATGACAGGCAGTTATGCCAGTTTGAGTACCTGGTATACTGTTTGCCAGTTTGAGTACCTGGTACACTGTTTGCCAAGAACTTTTACCACTGTACATGTACCTTTTTTGTCCTCCATATTGAGGGCGAATTCATCATTAAAGTAAAGTTTTTTACACAGAGAACTAGTATGTAGTCTGTACATGTGAAGAGCTTATTTATCACTATTTAAAATGCATCACATGAAATGATGGAGGTTTGGCTTCTTAAAAGAGATTAACTTCAGTGTCTTAGGATGATTTATTCAAGATATATTTTGTAGATTTTACTGATTTATGCCTTTCTGTTATCATTTATGAAAAGAATTCAAATTTCTATGCAAAATATTTTCACAAGTCAGGACTAACTGAAGTTTAAAATCTCAAATTTTTGCTCAGATGTAAATTTTAAACAACTGTCTCATAGGGAAAAAAACGCCTTGTTATTCTAAACCCAGCTTTTCATTAAAAGCTGAATAAGTGGAAGTTTGTTCATTCTAGTATTTGTTGATCTATAATAATAACTTTGGGCCAGCATTTTAGTTGTCTAAAATTATAAACACGATAAATTTAATCACAAAGATAATATCTTTATTATATCTGATTACATATACAGCTAAATGAAAACTTGTTAAGTGTTCTTTATACATTTGACCTCGACCTTGACCTTAACGTTGACTTTGATGACCGTTCTGTTCTGTAAGGTACCCAGTACTGCCCGCCTGGTGTATGGTGTCACTAAGAAAACCGGCGAGAAGAACAAGTTTCCCTTGGTGGTGATCCGGAACGTTTGTGTATTCCCGGGAGTTCCTTCCATACTGGAACGCTCCTTCGTCACATTGGAGGTACACATATAAAAAATAATCAATATTAATGGCTATGAAATTACAAATTTATTTTCATATTACGTAATTTAGTTCAGTCTCATAATTTCTTGTGACAGTCAACTGGGTATAGATGGCACAATTTGTTTATGTTGGTTTTTTTTGTACAAGGCAGATTTTTTCTCCTTTCCAAGCAACAGGTGTACAATGTCTATTTGCACGTGATCAATGCCCAGATCTTGTAGATTTTCTGTCGGCACTTGTGATAATTTTCAATATTCGTAATGATAGTATATATATACTAGGTTGGGCTTGTAGAAATTTTCATAAATACCCATGGGTGAGTATAAGTACTCTAACATGAAATTCAATCCCTCCAAATCCTCTCCAGTTTTTGATCTACCTATTGACTATTTACACATTTTGGAGTATGTAATTCTGGTGTAATGAACATATGATTCAAAATGCTCAATTTGGGTATTTATTTGCCGTAACCAATATTTTTCTTACTTTCAAGTTCAACATAAATGTACAATACAAAGAGTAGTAGGGCACTTTATATTGAAGTATGATCTGTCAAAAATTGGAAAAAAATCCCTCGTTTCATTTTTGCCATTTTTGATTGTGAATGTATAAGGATGAATTCAACACACAGTGGCAGGGATTTTTTTTTTAAAGCTTTAAATTTTCATTGTTGTTGAATTCTTAACAGCTCTTCAACACAGAAGAGGTCATTAGGGCTAGTAAAAGGTTGGTTGCAATAATTGGTTTTCATCTGACATTTTTGACATTACTGTGTCTTCTACAGGACCTGTTTAAGAATCCTGCCGGAAAGTGCTACATGGAAGAGATCTACGTGGAGAAGGATGAGGTGTCCATCGCCGCAGTGCTAACTGAGTTTGATGACAAGCACAGAAGGGAGGTAACCCTTGGCTCTTACCCTGATTTTACCAACAGGTAAATATCATACATACCAGACATGTGAAAGATTGGTAACACCAGGATTTCAAACAACACACATATTTAAAAACAAAATACATATAAAAATATGTTAATAAATGTCTGTTTAAAGTTTATTCATTTATAGCATCTGCATATAATTACTAAGCCTAGAAAATTCTTAGTGATTTTCAAAAAATGTGTCTTTATTTAAACCAAAAAAAATGATCGTTATATTTCCAGTACCAAAGAAGTACTGAACTTTCTGTAAATACCAGCAGTTAAAGAAAAATTGTAAGAAAGGTTAAAGAATAGTGAATTTTAGTTTCAGACAGTACTCTAGACCCTTATCACTGTATAGCTGTATTTTACTAGTCAAACACTATCACATCTCTAGATACTATTGTGGCTCAGTCCATTAATTTGATAGGTAAAGGTATGGTAATGGACGAACTTATTGACTATACATGTTGAAGCAAGGCTAAACTTGACCACCCTTGGACTCAAAAATATATACCATACAAAGCAACTATTGGTTAGCTTACAGGTCATCAGGATGGGATTTTTAAGTGCATCAAATATCTTTATATTGTCTCATGATATTGTAGTGTTTCTATGCCTTTATTATGTCCATTATTAATGTATTTCAACAAGAAAGGAATATGCAACAATGCCTGAAAATATTGAAAAAGAGCAGGTACCCATTCTTAATAGAACCATAACTTAATGCGTATATACATCCATAGAGATCCAAATTAATCGGAAATGGACCCCATCTGTCGAATACCTAGCACTGACACTTCAGGTTTTGCTATATGTTACATTAAATACATTGTGAGTGTTGAGTTTGAGGTCTGTTTCTATATACAAATCCTTTTTAAATAGTGTCTTGCATTGTAGTTTTTACAAAGTGAAGCTGACTTTGGAGTCAAATAAGGCAGACTTTCTCAGCCAGGCCAAGCGAAGTCTTATAGATAAACTTCCTGAAGGTATGTTACCTGTTCAATAGGTGCCATGTTATACTGTGTTGTCTGTTATCAGTGGCCAATGATAGTCTAGAGCACTGTCAGTTTCAGTCAAACTTACATAAATCAAACTTCAGATTTTTTCCTTATATAACAAACTGATATTTCATTGATGCATCAATTATTGATGAGTCAAATTTCTCGCTGTTTTGAACTATCAAGGTCCAATCGTTGGTTAAGGCGTCTGACATTCTTCTACCACTAGCCCTCCAACACTAGATCGTGGGTTCAAGGCCTACATGAGGCAGTTGCCAGGTACTGGCCATAGGTCAATGTTGTTTTTTTCGGGAATTACGGCTTTCCTCCACCACCAAAACCTGACACGTCCTTTAATAACCATAGCTGTGAATAGGATGTTAAACACACCAAATCTAAACAAATTACCTGTACAAGAACATTGAAATGTCCTAGGTTCATGTCAGCATCTAAACATGCAATTTGCTAAATTGTATGAATACATGTCATTATTTTCTAATTACATTAATCCAACATGTTTTATTCAGTCGCTTAACAATCACATTCAGACTTGTGCTGTATATACATGCAAAGGGATTGAATGGATTTTTAGCTCACCTGGTCCGAAGGTGTCTTTAAACGACTTCTTCTTCTTAACCACTGATTGGAATTCAACTAAATTTGACTGGAAGCATCCCTAGGTGGCGGAGATTAAAATTATACAAATGTTTGGGCTGACCTACCGTGGGGCTGAGGGGCAGGGCCAAAAGGGGTCAATTTGGCTATATTGCTTTAAGCAACTTCTTCTCTGGAACTGAGGGATGGATATCCACCATTTTTGACTGGAAGCATCCCTAGGTGGTGGAAATTCATAATTGTACAAATGGTTGGGCTGACCCCCCCAGGGGGCTGAGGGGCGGGGCAAAAAGGGGACAATTTGGCTATACTGCTTTCAGCGACTTCTCTGGAACTGAGAGATGGATATCAACCATATTTGACTGGAAGCATCCCTAGGTGGCGGAGATTAAAATTATACAAATGTTTGGGCTGACCTACCATGGGGCTGAGGGGCAGGGCCAAAAGGGGTCAATTTGGCTATATTGCTTTAAGCAACTTCTTCTCTGGAACTGAGGGATGGATATCCACCATTTTTGACTGGAAGCATCCCTAGGTGGTGGAAATTCATAATTGTACAAATGGTTGGGCTGACCCCCCCAGGGGGCTGAGGGGCGGGCCAAAAGGAGTCAATTTGGCTATATTTCTTTAAGCGACTTCGATTCTGGAACTAAGAAGTCGATATCAACCATATTTGACTGGAAGCATCCCAAAGTGTCAGGGATTCAAAATTGTACAAATGATGGAGCTGACCCCCCAGGGGGCTGATCGGCAGGGCAAAAAGGGGTCAATTTTGCAATATTGCTTTAAGCGACTTCTTCTCTGGAACTAAGAGGTGTATATCAACCATATTTGACTGGAAGCATCCCTAGGTGGTGGGGATTCAAAATTGTACAAATGGTGGGGCAGAGCCCCCAGGGGGTTGAGGGCGGGGCCAAAAAGGGGGCAATTTGGCTATATTGCTATAAACGACTTCTACTGTAGAATTATGCCATGGATATTGATCATATTTGGTCTGAAGCATTCATGGGAGGCAGGGATTCAAAATTGTACAAATAGTGGGGGCTGACCCCCCGGGCTAAGGGGTGGGGCCAAAAAAAGTGTATTACTCGGAATTGGTTGAGATCCCCACCATATAACCATGGTATACAATTGCTGAATATAAAGAGAAGAATGCACATTTGCTTCCAGGATGGCTAGAGGGTCTGGCCCCACCCTTGGAGACATAGTCCCTGGGCCATAACTTTAAAACTGTTGAGATCACCACCCCAAAACTATATATACAAATGCTGGGCATAAAAAGACGAATGCAGTCATGATATCAGAATAGACCCTGGGGTCTGACCGAACCCCTAGGGACCTAGTTTGTTAGTCACAGCTTGGAAACAGTTGATAGCCCCACCCTATAACGGTATATACAATTGCTGAGTATAAAGAGATGATTGCACATATGCTTCCAGGGGATACCAAAGCAATCATGGAAAAATATTCTCTGAATGAGATCAAGGGAATATGCCAGACCCAAGGCCAATCCTTGTAGCATATCTGTATTAGAATTTTCATGCCGCGCAATTTTATGTATGGTTATGGGGTGGGGATCTCAACCGTTTCCAAGCTTTGACTCAGAAACTAGGTCCCTAGGGTTGTGGCCAGACCCCAGGATCAATTCTTATATCGTGGCCTCTTGTTTTTCATGTACATTGTGGCATTGAATAGCAGTAGCTGATCTACATATCCTGTGGAGTGTGTTAGCGCTCCTCAGAAGATACGTAGATCAGCTACTGCTATTCATTGCCACAGTGTAAATGAAAAAAAATCCATTCAATTCATATATTTATGTTACGATGAACTACAATAAATAATTACAACACTTTTTGTAGATTTAATATTTTTAATATAAGTATCGTTCAGAAAAATATAAAAAAGGAACAGCCAGAAGTCCAGTCTACACACAAACTTCAAATGTTTGACTTACGCAGATTAGTGTTGAAACGAAAATATATATCTAGAATCTAATAATAACTAACACTTGATATTCCTTTCATTTTTGAAAGATGATCTTATTTGATGGGTTTTTTCGCATTAAACACAGCACACTATATATTTAAAAAGTTTATGTCTGCACTATTGTAAATGATTGTAAACTATTGTGCAGATGTAAATGATGATAAGTTGGTGGATGAAGTGCCCTGTGTCATTACAAAGTTCTGAGTTTAATGTGCAAGTTGATGTCACGGGCATTATACCCAGTCGGACGTTTGGGTGTTAGCCTAGATAGTTCGTGACCATGAGGAACCGATTGCGAGTCGGAAGTCAGTATGTAATGACAATGTTATAAGTAATTTATTAAGTTTTAAATTAGAACGAATAATGATAATAGTACAATGGTGCACCATTCATGATTTTTGTAATGTTTATTATTTTTTCTCGCAACTACGTTATCTCGTAGAAGGAGAGATAACAATTATCAGAGACGATATTACATTGTATGTGTAGTAATATGAAGTGGTCATTGTGTGTGAAATCAGCTGATTGGTTGCACGAGAATCGTTGTATTCATAGCGTATTCATAGTCAAATGGCAGTTGTTTTCAGTTGGTAGATTCATGTACAGAACAAACATCAAGAATGTAAATAAAATATTTATCACATAATGTACTGTGTTGTTCAGTGAATATATACGTACCCATATCATATTTTTTTGCGTATTAACCCATGTAATATGACCTATCAGCCCTGTGATTGGTTGTAAGTTTCAATTGTGACGTCACGCCTAGGACAAGTACATGACGTCACAGAATTACGCACTGGAGTCAAAATGGCGGCTTTTTACATTTCAAGGTTGCATGAAAAGCGCCGTTTTATACGAATAAATGCCACAAATCTTGATTATGTGATAAAAAGGATCTTACACTCGTTTTTATCACATATGTAATTTACGAATCTCGTGTCACATAAATTTCATATAAAATGGAAACTCATGTAAGATCCTATATGTATGTAAAGGATCTCAAAGATGTCCAAAGTTCAACATTCATGACTCAAAGTCTCCACGTTACAATTTTTTCCAATGGTCCCACCAATTTTGAAACATCGAAGTTTGACTACATACAAGTCCCCTATGATAAGAAACTGTCTCTTATTTTCAGTGTAGGTATACAATTTCTTTCCTGTTAAAAAAAAATGTTCAATTGGTTTTTCCCAGAGACATGCTTGTAAGCAGGAATTATTTATCAGAAAAAGCTTATAACTTACAATTTACACATTGCATAATAACTAACAGAATACCTTTGGTCATACTCTGTAGCAATAGATCAAGGGAGTTCCTCATGATATGGGTTATGTGTGGTCTACATACAGATACAGACTACTGGTATATATGTTCTTATTTAATGCAAAATATATGTCTTAAATTTGTATTAGGTCACCTGAGACAAAGTCTCAATAGATGGATGGGTCTAAAGGTGCTCTACCAAAATGGTGATTTTTTTATGAGCCTGACCCCCTAGGGGTCTGAGTTAAGGGCCGAAAAGGGGGGGGGGAGGGGGGAATTTCAAAAATCTTCTTCTCTAGTTACAAAAATTCCAGGATCAAATACTACCCATAGCTGTAAAAGCGTTTGGGTGGTTTATAAAAATTGTGATTTTCATGTCTACCAGGCGCCCCGTTTGCCCCTGGTGAGGGGGTGAAATTTGGTATAGTTTATATAGAAAATATACATAATAGGACATATCTTCCAATGTTTTGAACGGAGTTTGCTCATATTTAACAGAAATACTGGTTAGGGGAGGAAGGTCTGCTGGTATATTTTTTGTGACCATTACCCCCTAGGGGGCTGGGTTTGGGGTGAAAAAGGAGGCGAATTTCAAAAATCTTCTCCTGCAGTTCCAGAAATGCTAGTATCAAATACTACTCATAGTTGTAAAGGCATCGAGTGGTTTATATACTTTGTGATTTTCATGTAAAATTTAAAAGACAATTCGACAAATGAACAGCCATCACATACTTTTTATCTCCAACCCAACTAATGTGGTAGTAATAGTAACAACCTTAATTCTTTATGAATTATAAAGTCTCCATAGTAACGCTTCCAAGTTCTTAAACAAATTGGCATTGCAGAGCAAATGTAAATATTGTGCCATGATTGCTAAATAACCAGGTGAGCGTTACAGGCCCCATGGGCCTCTTGTTTAATTTCCATTGGAAGTAATTCAATTTGGGTTAGCATTATCAGTACTAGGTAGCAGTTTGATAGTATGCACATATGAGCCCTGACTGACTCCCTGGGGCTGATGGGTGGGGCCAAAATGGGTCGAATTGACTGAAATTTCAAAAATCTTTTTCTCAAGACCCAGATATGGTTGAATCAAATACTCTTCATAGATGGAAGAGTCT